GGGGGGGGGGGGGGGCTTCAACAGGCTGCCGAGGCCTCATGTTGCCCCCGCGGCCCCTGCATCCCTGGGCGCTTCAGTTCGCTATGCTCCTGTGCCCCTCCCGTCCCTCCCGGCAGCACCTGCACCACAGCGTCCCCGTCCATCCATCTCCAGCCTCACGGCCGTCACCACCCCCTCTGCCATTAGAACTGGGTTCATCCCCATCTTCATCAGCCGGTGTCGTCAGCTCCATCACCTCAAACACCAGCAAGGGCTCCACGGGCTCAGCCAGCATCACCGTGAACACCATCTCCACCCAAACCACAGGCATCGTCAACACTGACCTCGGGGCCAGCTGCTCTAACGTGATATGCCTGTCCTGTCCCCAAAACAAACTACTCGGGTGAGAGGTGTTACGATCCCCACCTAACAGCTCAGGGGATCTTGGGCACAAGTTCTAAGTGGCCTGTTCAGGGTCACACGGGTGGTGAGGCTGCATCTCATCTCCAGCATCAGAACTGCAGTCGGCACACCATCCATCCTGCCCCCAGCACCTCAGCACTCACACACGGCCTCTGTCCTCCTGCTGGAATGGGACCTCATCTCTTGTTCGCCTCTGCACCCCAGTGTCAAGGATGATGCCCGGCACAGAGCCAGCATTCAAGGCATACTGACAAACGAGGGAATGGGCAAGCAAGCCCTGGACCCTGGCACCTCCAGGCCATCAGAAGCCACAGCCCCTCCTCTCTCACCACACAGCACCAGCGGAGCCACGCCAGTCCCAGTGTCCTTGGACCAGGACGCGGACACAGGCTCCTGGTCCCCTCCTGCCCCCAGCACCTCCTGTCAGCTCCCAGGAGGGCCCTGGACACTCCCCAGACCCTGCGTCTCAAGTCCCAGAACCCAGCCCTCACTGCCACCACACACCCCATGCAAGCCCATGGGTGAGAAGGAGCCGGGGCACCAGCAGGCCAGGCGCGTTTCGGGAGACCAGCTCTCCAACACCTGCCCTTCCAGGGCACTTGGCCGCGTCTGGGCCTCACAGTTCCGTGTGGCTGCAGCTCTGTGGAATCTGTTTCAGTGTCCAGGTAAGGCTCTTACAATTGGTACCATATGTATGCCCCAGGACAGACCTAAGAGCCCAAGGGACTATTTAGTGCTTTAGAGCAAAACATCTCCAGCTCTGCAGCCCACGTGATCCACCACCAGCTCCAGGTGATGGGCTCAGCCTTTCTTCCCTGCGAGAGCAGTGGCCCACGCTGCCCGCCTGGACAAGACGTCCTCCCGCAGGACCTCATTTGTGTTCTCCCGGCATCTGGCAGAGTAGGTGTGCAATAAACGTTTGTTGGTTCTCAGATGGATGGATGGGTGGGTAGATGGCTGGGTCAGTCAGTGCATGGGCAGGTAAATGGATGGAGGGACAGATGGACAGACAGGGGGGCTGGTGGGTGGGTGTATGGAAAGAAGGAAGGATGTATTAGCCTAAAAGTGAGCCCTCTGAACTCCCAAGGGGGTCAACTCTGCTTTCCAGCCCTCGTGACATACCCAGAGCCGGGGACATGCGTCACAAGGCCACACGTGAACAGCCCCATGAACACCGAGGCCTCAGAACCGCTGCAGACGCTGCCCTGTGCTGCGTGAACCCTGGGCGAAGGCCAGGACCAGGCACCTGCCTCTGGTCCCGACGACCAGGCTGTGATTGTCATGTCGCATGCAGAGCAGTGCCCGCCGCTCCCAGCAACGCTCTGAGCGCTTCCTACACCTGAGACCTCGGATGCACCCTGCCCACGCCACGCAGGGACTCCTGACCCCTAATCCTAGGACGTTTTTTACCAAAGTGTAACTCAAGTGTTCGAGCTGGGTCTACTTTATTAGGTAAAAATCCATCTATCTTAAGTGTACAGTTCACCTTAAGTGTAAGCTTCAGTTGTACAACCACCACCAGCACCTGGTTTTAGAACATTTCCATCACCCCCAAAGCCCTCTGTGTCCTCCTGAGACCAGTCTCCAGCCCAGGCTACCACATCTGCTTTCTGTCTCCAAAGGGACCTCCGGGCACCTCGGACGAACAGAACACACACGTGCTCCTCTCACCCCGCAGGAGCTCCGTGCTCGCCCAGGCTGAGCAGCGTCAGTGGTCCACGCCTGCCCACTGCTGGACGGCGCCCGCGGGGCTCACCACGGGGCCTAAGTCTTCCTCGCCAGAGGCAGGGCCTCTCTGCGAGGGGCCACACTTCAGCTTTTAGGATTTGGAGGTGGGTCTCTGCTGCTGTAGCTGCTGGCAGCCCTGGGCCACATGTAAACGAATGGGCAACAAACAGGCTTCACTGAAGAAAACAGGCCCCTGCTCTGTAACCCGCGAGGGCTTAACAACACTGCATGCTCTGGGCTCCCCCAACCTCTGGGGGAGCAGGCAGGGTGTGGATAACAGACAGCCAGCCAGGGCTGGAAGGCACGTGAGAGGCCAGTGGGGAGGGGCGGCGGGGACATGGGGGCTGTGAAGGGGCCGTGGCCTGGGATGCGGTGGCCGTGACCACACTGAGGAGGCCAACAGTGAGTGCAGTGGCAGGAAGGGCACACGCAGAGGTAGCAGGTGGGTGAGGGGCACGTAGAGCAGGGCAGGGGGACAGGGCACCCTTGCCCAGGAGGCCAGGAGCCCACGGCATCTGCACCGCTGCCCGGCCCACGGCCCAGTGAACAGAGGAACGTGCGACCTCTGCCCCGAGCAGCCGCGTGGTCAGTATCTGTCTCCCCACCCCGCGCCCCGGGCCCCGTCCCCCTCCGGCCCCCAGGGAACATACCCGGGAGCAGCCCCGCAGGAGCTCAGCCACCTGCTTCAGGGCACTGGTGCTGGCTGCGATCGCGTGGTTGGTCTGCTGCTGCACCGTATGCCTGGAGTGGGTGTGGAGGGGAGAGAAGACCGGGGGGGTGGGCAGCAGAAAGGGGGGATGACACAGAAGGGCAGCACGGCAGGTGGGGGGCTCGCGGAGGGACAGGGAAGCGCACAGGAAAGGAGGAGTCGTGCAGAGGAAAAAGGGAACAGACGGGAAGGACGTAAAGATAGGCCCAGGGAGGGACGGACACGGGAGGGGGGCGGGCGAGGTGGGGGGAGGGGAGAAACGACATGACACGGTGAACTCAGGTCAGCGTCACCAGGCCCCTCACCTCCCAGCCCCCGTGGACCCCACACCCAAGCCACGGGCTCGGCAGCTGCAGCCCCGAGGCCCCAGCCGTGAGCCCTCCCTGTGGAAAGGTTGCTGGGGGTCAGCACTGGTCGGGGCCCAGGAAGCACGGCGGCCACACAGGTGGCCCTGGGACCACCGCTGAGGAAAGCCCGGCCCCCTCCCAGGCCTCTGGGGGCCATGCTGAGACTCCCACCTCCACACCCAGGAACATGGGGAGGCCGGGCCCGGGGAAGGCGCTGAAAAGACCAGCCCCTCACCGCCTAGAGCTGACCACTGCCCCTGTGGATGGAGTGACACAGGGCAGACCCTGTCCTCAGGCCTCCTGCGGGCTCACAGGCCCCAAGCCAAGCGAGGGAAGGGCCCTGGCCTGGCTGCAGGGCACAGACACCAGAGACCCTCCCGACCTTCAAGCTGCAGCACAGATGCCCCTCTTTGCCCCCTGTGGGACCCCCACATGGCAGCAGCGGGCATGGGCACCAGGCCACCTCGGACTGAACATGGGAAGCTCCGGACAGGCCACCCATGGAGCCTGGTGCCATCTGCCGAGGTACCATCTGCCGAGGTACCATCTGCCGAGGTGGATGCCCCGGGCGTTGACCCAGGCCAACGCTGGCCCCTGGGTCACACGGAGCTGTGGCATGCGGAAAGGGGGACGGGGGTGGCACAGGAAGGAGACCCTGCACCAGCCTAAGGGGGCGTGGGCTGAGGACGCGGTGCAGGGACCCTTTCCTCCCAGGTCGCCCAGAGGCCACAGGAAACGCAGGGACACACGCCACGTTTCCCCTCGGGATTTGGTCACGTGGCCGCCAGCGCCACAGAGCCTCCCTCCTTGTCATACCTCCCACCCAGATAAGGAAATAGCATGAATCCCAAATGTCAATAAATTTGACAGCTAAGATGCAAAAGAAAAATTCCTTGAAAGACAAGAATTATCAAAGCTGACTCAGGAAGAAACAGAAAACCTAAACAGCTCTACACCTACTGAAGGAATTAAATTTGTTCTCAAAAACATTCCTACAGATACAGACGACTTCACCATCAAATATTTAAAGAAGTAATATCAATACTATAGAGTCCTCCAGAAAACAGACAAGAAGGGACACTTACATTTTACGTGGCCAGCATTACCCTGATACCAAAACCTAAACAAAGAATCTAAAAGCAAAGAACAGCAAAAGCCACATAACAGAGCAGCAAAAATCCTGCAAAGAATATTAGAAACTTGAACCCAACCACATACAAAACGGATAACATCGTCCAAGGAACGCAAGGTTGGTCTGATATCCAAAATCAATTAATGTAATCCTCATACTAACAGAACAAATTTAAAAGGGAGAAAATCATCTCAATAAACTATGCAGAAAAAGCATCCGACAAAATTCAACAAGATTTCATGACAAAAGCTCTAAGAAAACTAGAAAAGAGAAGGGAACGTGATCAGCTTGATGAAGAGAGACTCTAAAGTCAAAGCAGCATCCCGTCACTGCCAGGAGAGGCAGGCGGCTCCCCCTGAACGGGCACCGGCAGAGGCCTACACTTCCAGGACTGCCTACCTCCACGTGGAACTTTATAGGTTTATGACATTCTAACTATAAGAGGACACGGTTACAACACTGTAACGGGACGAAAGAGGTAAGCAGCACAGAGATTTAAAACAAAGAAGTGGAAGAGTCTCTGTCACAGATGACAGGTTCATTTACGTAGAAAAATCCTAGGGAACATGGAATCTAACGAGGGCACAGGGCACAGGCAATAAACAGAGTCAGCTGTATTTCCATGTACCGGTACCAAAAATGGGAAATGAAATTTAAGCAACAATACCTCTTACAATAGTATAAAAATATAGGGACTTCCCTGGTGGCACAGTGGTTAAGAATTCACCTGTCGGGCTTCCCTGGTGGCGCAGTGGTTGAGAGTCCGCCTGCCGATGCAGGGGACACGGGTTCGTGCCCTGGTCTGGGAAGATCCCAAATACCGCAGAGCGGCTGGGCCCGTGGGCCATGGCCGCTGAGCCTGAGCGTCCGGAGCCTGTGCTTCACAACGGGAGAGGCCACAACAGTGAAAGGCCCGCGTACCGC